GTGACTTCACCTTTTTCGTTCCTAATTTCATGGATTTGAGCCTTTTCTTTTCTTTTTTTGACCAGGTCGGCTAAGGGTTTATTGATTTTATTTATTCTTTTAAAAAACCAACTCTTCAATTAATTGATTTTTTTTGTATCATTCTCTTAGTCTCCATTGCATTGATTTCTGCTCTGATCTTTATAATTTCCTCCCTAGAATGGGCTTTGGGTTTCTCTTGCTCTTCTTTTTCTAGGAGCTTAAGGTTCAGCATTAGGTTGTCTATTTGAGCTCACTCTGTTTTCGTAGTGTGGGCATTCACTACTATGAATTTCCCTCGTAGAACTGTATTCATTGTGTCCCATAGATTCCTGTATGTTGTATTGGCATTATCATTTACTTGTAGAAACTGTCTAATTTCTTCCTTAATTTCCTCTGTAACCCATTGGTTGTTCAGGAGAGTGTTATTCAATTTCCATGTGTTTGTGAAGTTCTTGCGGTTTCTTCTGCTATTGATTTCCAGTTTAATTGCACCATGATCTGATAGTATACAGGGGATAACTTCAATTGCTTTGCATTTACTTAAACATGTTCTATGACTTAGCATGTGGTCTATTTTGGAGAATGACCCGTGTGTAGCCAAAAAGAATGTATATTCTGATTTTGTGGGATAGATTATTCTATAGATGTCTATTAAGTTCATTTGTTCAAAAGCTTGGTTCAGTTTTAGTATTTTGTTGTTGATTTTTTTGTCTAGATGATCTGTTTGTTTGTGACAATGGGGTATTGAGCTCCCCCACTACAATTGTATTAATGCTTATTTGGTTTTTCATGTCCAGCAATATTTGTTTTGTATAGTTGGGGGCATACGTATTTGGTGCATATATATTTATGATTTTCGCCTCTTCCTCTTGGATTGTTCCCTTTACAAAGATGTAGTGACCATCTTTGTCTCTCTTAATTAGTTTTGGTTTGAAATCTGCTTTGTCCACAAATAAGATAGCTACACCTGCTTTTTTCCGGGCTCCTGTTGCATGAAGAACTGTTTTCCATCCTTTTATTTTCAGTCTATGAACTTCTTTTTGAGTTAGGTGTGTTTCTTGCATACAGCGTATTGTTGGATTTTGCTTCTTAATCCATTCTGCCAGTCTGTTTCTTTTGATTGGTGAATTGAGGCCATTAATATTGATGGTTATAATCGATATGTATTGACTTATCCTTGTCATGTTATTTTTCTGTTGTTGGCTCTTTTATTTTTTATTTTTCCCCTTCTCCCTTTAATTTTTTGCCTTGCCTGTTGGATTTGCTCTGCTGGGCTGCATGGAGTTGCAACCTTCATTGTCTTTTTTTAGGATATTGTTTAGAATTGTTTGGAGTGCTAGTTTGATATTCATGAAGTTTCTCAGGTGTTCTTTGTCATGAAAGTTTCTCATTTCCCCATTAATTTTGAAAGATACCTTTGCAGGATACATCAGTCTAGGTTGGAGGTTGTTTTCTTTTAGGGCTTGAAATACTCCAGACCCTCCCTGCCTTGAGGGTTTGTGTTGAAAAGTCTGCTGTGATTCTGATGGACTTTCCTTTGTATGTGATTTGTTTCTTTTCTCTAACTGCTTATAGTGTTTTGTTCTTCTGTTGGATTTCTGGGATCTTGATTATTATATATCTAGGTGTAGATTTTTTTTTTTTTTGATCATAGCTAGTTGGAATCCTGTATGCCTCACTTATCTGTATGTCAAATTCTTTTGCTCTGTTTGGGAAGTTTTCTGTCATTAATTCTGTGAACAGGTTTTTTTAATGTCATTTGTACTTTCTCCTTCTTTTTCATGGATTCCCATCAGTCTTATATTATTCTTCTTTGCATCATCTAGGATGGGCTGGATTGATTTCTCATGGTCCCTTACTATTTTTAAGAGATCTCTCTTTTCATGGTCACTGACTGCAATCCATATCTGAAATTCTGAAATTCTGAAATTCTGTCTTCACATTGGCTCATTCTGCTATGAATGCTTTCAATAGACTTTTTAATCTCCTGGATATCTGTTTGAATCTATTTCATGGATTCCACTTCTTTCCTTTGTTGGCCATTCATGGTTTCCATTTCTGTCCTATGGTGGGCATTCATGGCTTCCAGCATGGTCCTGAGTTCATCTATTTTTTTATGTTTCAGTTCTAGAGTCTCTAATCATGTCTTTCATTCTGCTCACCATCTCTGTAGTTATCTGGGAAATTATTTTTGTTTTGAATTTTTCTAGAGCCTCATTCATCTGTTTTGTTACTTCCTGTGGTATCAGTTTATGGTGTCCAGGTGATTGATTATCAGACTTTTCAACCTCATTTCCCCCAGAATTTGCCTTTGGTGATCTGGAAGTCTGGGTTTGAGCCTTACTTAGGTGTCTTCTCATCTCTTTTGTTGTTGGTACTGTTTTTGGTTTAATTCCTGTGTTGATACATCAATATTGCTTAGTGTAAATATCTTTGTTGCTTGTATTTAGAATCCTTATGGAATGATTGCTTCTCAGAGGTGTCTTCCAGATATAGCTGGTCTTTAGGTTTTGAGTCTTTAATGACTCTGGGACAATCTCATTTTCCTTATACCAGAAGGATAGCTGATTAGATCAATTCCAAAACCTTAGCCCAAGCGATACAATCAGCAATAACAATAATATAAAGTACAGCTTAGAAAATGACAGTTTGTGGTAGTTATTAATCTATCACCTTTAACTGTGTGAATCAAATCAAATTTGAGGACCAACTGAAAATATGTTTATAGTGAATAAACTCTTTAATATAGCAACTTTACCCTTCAGGATGGGGGGTTAGAAAGAGTTGAGGAGGTAGGGATAGATAGGCACATGGATAGGGAAAGGTTAGAAGTGAGGCCAGAGGACACAGGAAGATTACACAAACTCTAGGAAACTGTTGAAGATAAGAGGAAAAGACAGAATGAAAGAACAAAGACAAGAACAGGACAACCTAACAGCTATAGGGGAGCTATAAATTAATTGTATTCTCTTTCCTTTAAAACTAATGACAATCGAGAGAAGTAAAATGACAGAAGAAAAGAAAAAGAAAAAAGAAGTCTGAATTAGGACAGTAACATGAACAAAAATGAAGAGAGATGAAGAACAAGGTGAGAGAAAGAGAGAAGAAAGAGAAGAAAAAGAGAAAAATAAATTTGAAAAGAAAAAAATTAAAAATAAGAGGAAAAAACTTTGAAAATAAAAAAATAAAAAAAAAGATAAAGGGCCTCCTTCAGGGTATGTCTCTGCTGTCACAATAGACAACATTGGCAGCAGTGTGCAGATCTAAGTCAATGAGTCTCAGCAAGCCAGCAGCAGTCCCCTGAGATTCAGGCAGATTTCTGGCTGCAAGTCCCAAGTTGAGCTCCCTGACCTTTTGGTGGGTTGAACTCTGAAAGTTTCTACTGCAGGTTCCAGCTGCCTCCCCCTGAAGATAGTCCAGGTTCCGATGGAGGTGATGATCCCTCCAATTTACCAAGTGCGGTGGTCTGGTGTGCCTTTATTGCAGAGATTCTCTTCACTTTTCCAGTGGACTTCAGTTTTCATCAAGGAGCCTGAGAGAGGCCCTCTTTCTGTTCACTGCTGCTCTGTCTTCTAGAGTTCAGAACAATGGCCTTTATGACCCCTGAACCTCTGCAGCCTGGATTGTGGATTTACGTACAGGCTCATTCCAGCCGCTGGGGTGGGGGTGGGGTGGGGTGGGGTGGGAGGGGGACGGCACAGTTCTGCTCCTTGTCGCTAGGTGGTGGTGCTACGGCAGCCGGGTGGCTGTGCTCCTCGGGCCTTGGACGGTGCTCCCATTTTTCCATTCTTTTAGTGCTTGAAAGGTATTGTGCCATGTCTTTCTGATGATAAATTCATTGTTATTCTAATCATTTTCCCCTATGGATTTCTGATTCAGCTGGCCCTTTCACTAATATTCGTGGGAAAATATTTCTATAGATATTAAGTGAAAAATATAAGTAGGATTGCTATTTCATTTCAGAAGATTGAGAAAGACCAAAAGGAACTGAAATAAATACAACGTATCTTCTCAGATGGAAGTGATTTTATTTTCACTTAAGTTGTGCATTATGCTTAGAGTCCCATAGAGATATAGTTTAGGGGAAAATTTCCTTATTTTGGAGTGGAAAAATTCATCCTTCCTCAGAACATGTCTGGTTCCTTGATCTTATATTATCTGGATTGCAGTTTACATGTTTAACATTTTCTTAGTAAAATACTTGAGAGTAGACCTTTTTAATATAGTACTCCTAGACACTCAGTATGTATTCACCAAGGGAGTGGTGGAATGAATAATTTGTATTTAAGTGTGTACAGCAGTCTCTCCTCCAGTTTCACTTTTGTGGTCAACTACAGTCTGAACCATGGGTCACATTATCACAAGATATTTTGAGAAACAAAATTCACATAATCTTTATTATAGTATATTGTTGTAACTATTCTGTTAGTTTCTTACCGTGTCTAATTTATAAATTAAACTTTACCATAGGTATATAAGGAAAAAACATAGTATATGTAGTGTTCAGTACTTACTATCCGTAGTTTTAGGTATATCTACTGTGTGTCATGGCACATATTCCCTGCAGATAAGGGCACTACCATATGGTTACATTAAGGACTTGGACTTACCCTACAATTTTATTTTGGAGAACCTAAAAGCCACACCTCTGGATAACTGGGGCACATTCTGGGGTCATGATGACTCATGGGGCCTATGACTCTGCCATGACACCAGAATTATCAGCAGTGACATCCATTTGCCCTCTGCACATACAAATCTTGTTACCGGAGAGACTCATGGGTCAGATGTACAGACGATCCTTCATTTTTCCAAGATTTTTGACGTGCATTGTGGTAATAATCAGGTAAAGATTGTTGCTCTTTCTCTTTGTCCCTTCTCTATCCTCAATCTGAGAACATAAAAAGGACCAAACCTAGGAAAGTATTGGGTATTATGACCATTAAAATACTAACTAGTTTTACTACAAAATCAGCAAATTAGAAATGGATCACCTCTTATTGGATTAAAAAACAATTAATTTGTAGATTTGGCACTTCTGAGGTTGTACTAAAAGAAAGCTATCTGCTAGACTGCTCCTTGAGGAGACTTAGCTGCCGATAAAATGGATAACCTCATTGGCTTATTTTTTGACAAATGAATTGAGATGGTAGCATTATTTAGCCATCTACTGAGTAATCACAATTAGGATGCTGTGGAGACATACAAATGGAATAAAAGGCAAAGTTTTGGTTCCTAAGGAAATTATAACTGAATAAAGAAAATGGAAAATAGTACTACAGAATCAACTATGAATTATAGAAGTAAACAGCTATGTGGAGATCATGAATTGCAGACACCAAGAAACACTGTACAGCTGTGACTTTAAGTCATGTAAACATCATAAATATTTTATAAGAACATTTCAGTCTTGGCATGGTGGAGTCAACCTGTAATTTCAGCACCCTGGGAAGCTGAGGCAGGAGGATTGCAAGTTTGAGCCCACCTTGGGCAACTTAGCAACTTAGACCAGGTCTCAAAAAAGTGCTGGGGATGTAGCTTATTGCAAAAGCTCTAGATTCAATCTCCGGGTACACAAACACCAAGCCAGAAAAGAAAGATTCAAGTGGTCTGATTATAATGATATTTTAGTGTCAATTTTAATCATACCCCATGCTTTCCTGGTTCTTATTCTTGTTATTTCAGAAGAACCAGGGCTGATTGTGTATCTTAGGCAAATTATTTGTCTAAGCCTACTTCTTCATTTGTGAAATGTGGGTAATTATACCTGCATGATGGAGTTGTTTGATCAGATTTAACTAAATAATAGATGCAAAATGCTTACATAGTTCCTTATGTATACCAAAGGATAGTAGCAGATATTTTCAGTTTTGCCGCCTATTGTTCTTTGCTGTAAAGCAAATGAAACTACCTTTTCCCTCAGATTCTATACTGTTCTCTTAGTTCAGATGAATCTGTGCTTAGAAAGGTAAGCTGGAGTCAAGGCCATCAGAAACCCTTAATAGTGTTCAGGATGAACTACAATTCCTTCCTGCAAAATTCCTATCATGCTTCAATTACTCATTTTTATTACTAGCTTACAAGGAGCAATAATCAATTATTTCATTGCTGTATTCACTTAACAGACTTAAATGTCAAGATCTGAAGAAATGAACTTTATTCACAGAACTCAAGTGTTTACTATATCAAAGCATGCTAATTTGAGTAAGAAATGGATTTGGCTTTCAGAGTTGTCTACTGCAAATGTGATATTACCATTGGCATTCAAACTACTAGAAAGGTGTCAATTTTGGCTTACTTTTCCACTTTTTTTTTTTTTTTTAAAGTGAGGCTCTTGCTGGGTAGTTCAGGCTTAAACTCATAGCAATCCTTCTACCTCTGCCTCAGCCTGTCGAGTGCTGGGATTACAAATGTGCATCACTGCGCCTAGCTATCTTCCAGTCTTATCTTTAAAATATTTAATGCACTTCTGCAACTTTCTATCCTGAATTTTTGTATCTTCTGAAACTAAGTTAAAAACAGTCACTGCAGGCCCTGGATCCAGACTATAAGTTCCAATGACTCCACTATTTCTGTGGCGTTACTTGGGCAAAGTTGTGCCTCAGTTTCCCATTTTGTTGTAAAGGTTAGATGAGTCATTATATACCAAGTGTATCTAGTATACAATAAGCAGTGATAGTTTGTGTTAGCTTCCCATGACTGAAATACATGATATAAATAACTTTAGAGGAGAAAAGTTGTATTTTGGCTCACGGTTTCAGTCCATGGTTGCACGGCACAGTTTATCTCACATTGGCTGGGAATAGAGAGAAGTGAGAGAAGCCAGGGTCCCAGCATGTACTTCAAGGCACACTCCCAGGGATCTTACCTTCGTATACCAACTGCCCTCCTCCCAGGCTGCACTACCTCCCAGGTGCTAAAGGCTGAGGATACAGCCTTTCAACCCATGGGCCATTAAGGGACATTTCAGATACACACTACAACAGGCATTACTATTTAA